GCATTTACCTAGGCCCTCTTTGACAATAAAATCAAGAATGTTTAAGAAATTCAGAAATATTTTTTTATTATGAAAATTGTTGTTCTTAAGGTTAAAGATCACTATTTTTGTATGAAATGTGTATTTATAAAAGTGGGAAGTATCAGAACAGATAACTACGGAAGTAACGAACAACCAAACATGAATCCTTCCTCGCTATGTTCTGTTCAAACGTTCCCGCCAATATCTCACTCCGCATTGCTTTACCGCCACCGCAAACCGGCGCATGATAGCACCGCCGGCGTAAGGCGGAGAGCTTCATACGTAGTTTGTGCTGAAAGAAGTAGCCGAGCTTCCACGCGAAGCGCTGATGATTACCATGCCACTCTCAAAGCTCTCAAATCCAAAGGCAGATTCCCCAGAAAATCTCTTGGCCAGGTTTGCATATTTTTTCTGTTTTGTTTGTTTTCTAAGAAAATTTGGCATGACCCATTATGTTGTGGTGCTCCAATTTTTTATTTCCTTTTTTGAGGTATTATTATGAAAATTGTATGCGGGTGCTTCTTTGAGGTATTTCATCGAACAGAAAGGTGGGTATGGACAAGGGATAGTTGGTTTGACTTGAATTTTGCGTTGTAGCACTGCAACATCTAGTTTTGTGAGTTTAGTCCTTTTTTTTTTGTTTGGAACGATTTATTTGAGTGCTTCACTGTGGTCTGTTATCAAACAGTTGATGGGTGTCTAACTGGGTGCTTTGGTATGAATTGTTGTTTGTTTTCTTGTTTGGATGTAAAAGTTGTTTGGGGCTTGGTTTGGAATGAATCTTCCTGTGAAATTTTTTTCTCATTTGGGTGTTGATGTGATTGTAGCATTATATGTTGAATTCTGAAATAAATGACCAACTTGCTGGTGCGGCCGGTATTGAACAAGGCGATGTTGTGTTGGAAATTGGACCTGGAACTGGCTCCCTGACTAATGTTCTTTTGAATTCGGGCGCATTCGTACTTGCAGTTGAAAAGGTCTGGTCATTTTTTACAAAGATCCCATTGTCTAAGCACGAGTTTGTTT